GCCATGAAGCAATTAGAGGAATCTATCACCCGAAACATCGTTAGTATCTATTATGACTGTAAACAATGAAATTGGTAGGTTTGAATATTTAAAATCAAAATGAAATTCTCTTATGGAAGAAAATTTATTTATACGGAAAACAGGAGTAAACAGCCGATAGCAGATATTGGTGCACTCTGTCGTTCACGAAAAGTGTTTTTCATACGGATGCTGCCAGGCAGTAGGAAAATTCCCATCGATGTAAACAAAATGAATATCGATTTAATGTCAATGTCAGGACATAAAATATACGGACCAAAGGGTGTTGGTGCACTTATGTGCGTCGTAGGCCACGTGTACGTCTTGAACCAATTCAAAGTGGAGGTGGGCAAGAACGTGGTCTGCAGTGGTACTGTCCCCGCACCTCTGGTGGTAGGATTTGGTGTTGCTTGCGATCTTGCTTTGAAAGAAATGGATTATGATAAAAATGGATAGATTTTATCAAAACGTTTGTATGATCGTATAACAGACCCTGACACATGTAATCCGCAACGGCGATCCTGAACAGACTTATAGGGTGCTTAAATTTGTTTACGTGAAGGCGAATCATTATTGATGGCTTAAAGATGTCGCTCTTTCAAGTGGTTCAGCATGTACTTCTGCGTCATTGAACCTTCTATGTGCTTCGTGCCATAGGTACCGATGAGGATCTGGCCACAGTTCAATAAGTTAATATTAGCATTAACTTTTAAGTAATCATACATAATTAACGACATTTACCATTATATTAATCTTTTCAGATTTGATTGGTCGTTTTACAACATTGAAGAAGTTGATTACACTGCTGACAAATGTATCAAACATGTGGAACGCCTACTGAAATGTCCACTGTGGAGATGGTTCAAGAAGGCATTGATTTAAAACATTCAGTGGTCACAGCATTAATTTGGTTTGCCGCAACTATTGGGTCGGAGGGACTGTATTGAATTGTACTACAATTGTTAGAAGAAACTGTTTTCTTTATAAAAGCATGGAAATTTTCAATTTGAGTGTTTATGAGGATTTTAATTGAAAAGGATAAGTTTGCTTAAAGAATAACGGTATATTTTTCGTAATACTTAGATATTATTAAAGAGCTATTAGTTAAACGCATGTCAAAGGTACAGGCAAATATTATATAATAACAAGCCGTTTAAATATACTTTAATTAAATTGAAAAACTCCATAGAAATAAATTGATTTATTTAAAAACATTAGTAACAGGTAACATTTTAAGCCAAAAATTACATGCAAAAAAGAAACGAAAGTCGTTTAGATATAAGCACTTTCTCCCCTTATTTTTATAAAAGTAAACTTTTGTTTTAGTAACTACAGAAAATCTAAAGGCAAGTCGCAGTTGTGCCCATGTCTGTATATGATCCATTCATGTAATTATTAGTTATACCTTTCCCATGTTAAATACACAGTTTTAATATGTATTTGCATTTTATATTTGCTTAAAGACATTACAAAAATCAGTTATATAAGTCGTTTAAATATAAATACAACAATATGTACATATTTGTGTGTACGGTGTCATCGTAAACGCTTTGATCGAGATAGTACAAACAACAAATGTATTAACACAGCGGCTTAAAAAACAATAGCTATATTAAATTATAGCCGCACCGTTCGAAAATGTGAAGGGTGAAGAGCCATTCAGCGGTGGTCGTATAACTAATGAGCTTTCGTTTAAATTATTCGATATATTTTGTATTAAGTGTGTTTTGAGTGCAACTTAATAATGTTTGCATAATACGCCAAAGGTTTTGCAAAGTCCAAAAACTGTTTTGCAAGATACATAGCTAAAATATATTGGTTTATGAACATTCATGTATATTAAAATGCAAATTAACATATTTGGCACATATTATATATTACTTAATTAGTTTTCTTCGTCTGCTGGGTTTTATTGCTGCTTCCACCTAAAATCTTCTTGCGTTGTGCAAACATATGGAGATACATTTGTGGGAATAGAGGTATATACAAGAGCATTACAATCCAGAGCAGAGCAAAATATGAGAACGTGGCATTCCATTTATTTGGCATTTGCAATGACCAAATTGTATTTGATTTGGCATATCCTTGTGCCCACCAAAAACATAGTAGCTCACCGGTTACGCCAATTGGATAAAGAGCTATAAATGTTGTGTATCGTAGAAAAACCACAATGTATGGCAAACAGTTTATAATATTGAGAGCATAATAGCCATATCTTATGATTTCGGTTACTGCCCACGCAAAAAGCGCTATTGGTAATCCAGGCGACACTTTACCCATTGGTGTAGCCATAACGACTCCAATGACTACTATCATTCGGCTCAGCACTTGGAATGTTGTTATTACAGGATTCGATTTTACTAAGCCAAAAGCTGCATTGAAAATTTCAACAAACGCAGCATTTTGGAAAACGATTACGGCAACGCGGGTGTAGTCCCAAAGTTCCAATCGAGCCCGGAATTCCGGTCCTTGCAGCAAATAGTAATTTACTAACTGAAAGAGGATGTAACTCCACCCAACCACTTGTGCAGCGTTGTATGCAAAAAGGTAACCTTTGACCGCTGGTCCCTGTTGCTGAGAAGCTGATTTCACTGTGGTCGATTTCGCAGACATTTTTGTTTCACTACCTTCAAAGTCCAATTAACGAAATCAACACGTCCATACACTTTCACTAATTTTAAACAAGTGTATTGTCAGTATCGTTCAACAGCTGTAGCAGATGAGGAAATAAACTCGTTTTAATAAAATTGGCAGTTGAACTGGGTTGATAATGTTAGATTTTAATACGCATTGTCAAAGTTAATTGTGAACAGTGCGGAATAAGAAGAAGAAATAAGATGCAATTTATTAGTTTGTTTACAAAAGTAGTATTTCTTCGAATCATATTTGTTTATTATTTCAAAATAATACAATGGTCACACAATTAGACGATGTTCGTTTAATTAAACTAGTGCAATCGCATCCTATTTTGTATGATAGAAATCTCGCAAGAGGGCCCAAAACTTCTTCTTTGAAAGATGATATTTGGAAAAAGTTTTCCTTGCAATTAAACTGCTCAGGTAAGTACACAAAATGTTGTATGAAATGTTATATATGTTAACTTTCTTTAATCTTCTCAAGAACGAGCTTGTATAACAAGATGGAAAAGTATTCGCGATCGCTTTGGAAAAGAATTGCGTAGGGCACAAGAAAATCCTGAGGAAGTCGTCAACTGGGACATGTTTGAACATCTACTCTTTTTGCGGGAGCATTACAAACATGGGTATTGTAAAAATATTGGCGACTGATGACTGATAAAACTTTGAATCTCGTTTATAGGCAAGCAAATAACGAATCACTAGTTAATATAAAATATGAACCCAAAAAAAGAAAGCGGGGGCGAAAGCCCCGGAGAGATTGCGAAGCGGAAACATTTAAGGCGGAGCGAGATGACGACGATGTGGATCCTGAAGAGTTAATTGAAAATCAACAATTGATCGAATTAGTAAAAGAACATCCCGTACTGTATGATAAGTATAAAATCAGGGATTCGAAAAATTTGACACTGAAAAATGATGCATGGCATGAAATTTCAGACAGTATGGGCATATCGGGTAATTAAAAATTAAATTATCCCACTCTTACAGATAAAATAATAAATTCATACTTTTTCAGAAGAGACATGTTATAAACGGTGGAAAATATTACGGGACCGGTTTGCACGCGAATATCGTCACCAGAAAATTTATCCCGAGCGATCCGTGACGTGGGTATATTTTCAGGATTTGTCGTTTCTCAAAGATCATTATAGAAAAGGGTAAACTTCAATATTATTAAAAAGTATATTTGTTAAAAATGTGTTTTGTTTTTAAGAATTCCGCTCCCAGTAGATGACATTAGACAAAGGAAGAAAGCGAAATCAGCAACAACAACAGCAATATCCACAGAGGAGACTTGGGTCGAAGATTGTCCGTTTCTATATGTTAAAGACGGACATCATTCACCAGACGAAAATATAGATGATATTGACACTGCATTTAGTGAAGTTAATTCAAACTCATTAGATGAACTAATAATAATGCCCAAAAGTGACGAGTCATATAACGATATTGTCGTTGATGAATCAATAACACCGCCAGGAAATACCTCACAGTCTAGTTTTGAAGGAACAAGTTTAGAAGAACCCGAACAAAAACTTTCGGTTGTAATTTCAGGAATGCAACAAGTTTTAGAACAATCACAGGAGTGTTTAAAATCATTACAAAAACAAAAAGAACAACAAAAACAACAAATACAATCCGACGTGAGTTTGTCGATAAATGCCGAAGTAAGTATGATCCAAAAAGTACATATATTACTGGATGGTTTGAATTTGCCAAATCGAACGCTAGCTGAACGTCGAATAGTTCAATTTCTATGTGAATGTCAAATTAAGACATTAAACAATGTGGATATAGACGATGTGGATGGTACAGAAGATTATTAATTACATAAAAATTAAATAACTTTTAATTTAAATGTTTACTATTGTGGTTATATATTTATACATAAAGATGGTTTATAAAATTAAAGAATAGTTAAAAGTTCTGAAATTTTGAATAAAATAAAACAAGATTTAAAGAAATTTACTTTCAGAACATAAGGAAATATAAGGAAAAAGTGATGGAGGGTACTAAAAAAAAATTTTCAACAAATAAAATTTTCTTTCACTGGCGACCTTGAACCTTTTGACAATAGAGGTTGGACTGTCCGTTTCGGTTAATCATACTCTGCTTAGAAATGATAATATTTAATATTTTAATTTTTTTCTTGTCAAACCCTTTCAAAGAAGTTTACAAGCACGATTAAATTAAAAAACTTGTATATACTATCATTTGGTCCTCATTATGTTCTATAATTTTTCGCACAAGTGTGGATATCAATCAATCAAGTTGATCATAATTCAAACTTTTACGCTCGAGTGTTCAATAAAAATTAACTATTTTGTTGAACATACTCCCATTAGGACGGCTGTCATTGACATACAGTAACAATTGTTGACTAGACTAAACATACCATACGATTTCTCATTGCGGGAGCGCCGATATTAGTGAAAAATTGTTGAGGACTCGCTATCGTTAAGTAAAATATTTAAAAATTACTAACCTATGAAAGTAGTTTTAAGTAAATTAAATATATATTGGTCGTGCTCTCTAATGGAATTTTGAAAGAAATATAAATATATTGAGAAGGCAATAAAAAAAAACAAGTAAAGTATAAGCAAATCATATTTACTATAAATGGGCAATCGTGTTAAATGTTGGAATTTTTTATTTAGTCGACTTGGATAACTATTGTTAAAATTTGTCTCTAATATATAGAAATACATATGTTATTATAAGAACGGTAACCAAAAGATTGTAACGTACGAGTAGAAGCTGAAATTAAAGTGTTGGTGCAGTCGAAATTTACACCGATCGTGACGACAGTCATCAAAGTTAGCGTATCACAGTGAAGCGTTGGCGCAGCTTACGCACACGTACAAAGTTTTTTTGTGTGATGTTAAACAAGTGAATAGCCAGTGAACACCAAGTGTAAACTGACTACGATTGTTGGCAGGCTAAATCGAGATTGATTTCAATAGATTCGGGAGACGGATGCAAGTTGCCACTTTACTATATGCCGTGCTGATCTACTGGCTGTGGGTGGAAAAATATTATCTACATACCAAAAATTAAGAAATCAGTGTATATACTGCCGAAAGTATCATATTGCTAACATCAATAATACTTTTATCAAAATTGTCACCGACAAACGGAAAAGGAAAGTGGAGGTAAAGTTTGAAGTTGTAAGAACTGCATTCACGCGTATTGGTCACAAATTTGTTTTGAGGTTATAACATGATTTTACTGGAAATCAATAACCGCATCGTCGAAGAGACACTTCTTGTCAAATTTCGTAATGCGTTAGCTGGGTAAGTTAATATATTAAATTTAAATGAGCATGCATTATGTACATATTAAAATTTATTTCCACTATCGAAAATGCCCTTATCAAAGTCTGGGTTGAGTAATTGTTTAGATATGTTTATTACAAAACATTTTGTATATGTGTATATTTGTACAGATTTATATGCATGTGTACCATATATCCGGCGTTTGCCATATGGTTGCAATTGTTATGCTATTAACACTGACTTGTCACCCGCCCCGCACACCTAACTATATACTTATATGCATTAATCATCATCCGCGCAACAGTCGAATATATATATTAAAGTATAAATTTCACTCAAAAGCTGAAAATTAGATGTATGCGAATAAACCAGTAATTGAGTCATGCACTCTTATGGTGTAGCACGAGAGGTGTGTTTTTAATTCCAAAGAAGCAAATTTTTATTTTTTAACATGCTCTGTAACATCTAATATCATTCCAATGAATAAAATAAATAATCAAAGTCTCAATTATGTTTGATTTTGATTGTGCAAGACGAGTATGTATGATGTTTATTAAACATTTTTGTAAATCTTTCAGTTTACATATATACATACTCGTGCATACATATTATTTGAAATATCTGCTCTATTAAATCTTATCAAGCTTTGATAACAAACGTAGCCATTATGCTACAATTCGGTCGAGACTCGTCGATAAAGTATTGCTATTTATTGTGTGTACATTTGTACATATATACATATATGGCAAACAGTATTTATAGTATACAAATGACTAATGAAAACTAAAGGTTTTCGGGCGTTTCTTTGAAATGTAACATTCTTATATGATTGTTGTTGTTGTAGGGACAGAATTCTCGTTCCCACGACAGTCGGGTCTACGTAACCGGAACGGACCCGGATTTTTATCCGGCCAAGGACTGTCAACTCGGCTACAACAACATTCTTATATGCTTTATTGTTATTTGTAAACTTAATAGAATTATTAATTTAAATTTTACGATATTGTACCGCCTATTTTAATACGCACGCTATCTTTTAAATTACAGTGTGAAAGCGGAATCTATTGACGTTCGAATTGCTGACTTTGATGGCGTGCTATTTCACATTTCAAATGTTAATGGCGATAAGACTAAAGTTAGGGTAAGTCAGCATTAATCAGCAATATAATTTATACTATAAATGCAATAATTTTTCTTATATTATAGACAAGCATTTCGTTGAAGTTCTACAAGCAGTTACAGGAGCATGGTGCTGACGAATTGCTGAAGCGTGAATATGGCGGTTTATTAACAGACACTGAAGATGGTAATAAATAATAATAAATCTATTAAAGTTTAATTTCATTAGTTTGTGTTTTTAGGCTACAACGTGTCGGTACTTATTGACCTAGAAAATATACCTGCTGACTGGGAGGCAGTTGCTAAAAATATTGGCCTGTTGAAACGCAATTGCTTTGCTTCTGTTTTTGAAAAATACTTCGATTTTCAAGAACAGGGTGAAGAGGGCCAAAAGCGTGCTGTAATTAATTACCGAAACGATGAAACTCTGTAAATATTTAATTTTGGTTAATTTATACATAGTTAGGAAATTTGAAACGTTTTAATTCATTTAGTTATGTTGAGGCAAAGTCTGATCGTGTAACTGTTGTATTTAGCACGATTTTTCGTGATGAGGACGACGTGATTATTGGCAAAGTATTTATGCAGGAATTGAGAGAAGGTCGCCGAGCATCACATACAGCTCCACAAGTATTGTTCTCACATCGTGAACCACCGTTGGAATTGGCGAAAACGGATGCAAGAGTAGGCGACAATATTGGATACGTTACTTTTGGTGAGTAAGAATGCATGTAGTTCATTTGTTTAAATGTTGAAGAAGTTAGTTAGTAATAGATAGAAACTAATTCACGTATTTAAATACTGACGGAAAGACGGACATGGCTAAATAGACACAGCTCGCCACTCTAATCATTTATATATAGTGCTCTAGAGTGTGTCCAACGTTTTGTTCTGGGTGTTACAAACTTCGTAGCAAACTTAATAACATTCTGTCCAAAGGAAATTATTTCAAAACTCTCCCCAATTGTAAGAAGTAGAGCATATATAAAGTTGTAAAACTTATGATAAGCAAGTAAGCAGAAGGTATGTTGTTAAAGTAGTAGCAGAAAACATTTCTAAAGTAATTTTGAGGAATAGTGCCGAGATGACAGTCCTTGGCCGGATAAAAATCCGGGTCCGTTCCGTTTACTTAGACCCGACTGTCAAGGGAACGATGTATGTATTTTTGTTCGGGTGCAGCTGAATATAACTTACTCTCGCAGTTTGTAAAAATTGATCACATGTCAAAAGTATCAATCTGTCGAATTAATTAACAATAGAGTAAATACAAAAGTTGCCTTATAGTGCTAGCAAGAAATAAATGAACATTGATTGGTGGAGCTAAAAGTGGGATATTTACTATTATTTAGTTTGTGTCTCTCAAATACTCCTAAATTAAATTATAGATCAAACGGCATCCTGATTAAACCACATTCACATTTTATCTCAGATGACTTGTGTTTGATTACAAATAGAAACTTAGTTAGAAAGCTAGCAAGAAATAAATGAACATTGATTGGTGGAGCTAAAAGTGGGATATTTACTATTATTTAGTTTGTGTCTCTCAAATACTCCTAAATCAAATTATAGCTCAAACGGCATCCTGATTAAACCACATTTTATCTCAGATGACTTGTGTTTGATTACAAATGGAAGCATAGTTAGAAAGCTAGCAAGAAATAAATGAACATTGATTGGTGAAGCTAAAAGTGGGATATTTACTATCGTTTAGTTTGTGTCTCTCAAATACTCCTAAATTAAATTATAGATCAAACGGCTTCCTGATTAAATCACATTTTATCTCAGATGACTTGTGTTTGATTACAAATAGAAACTTAGTTAGAAAGCTAGCAAGAAATAAGTGAACATTATTGGTGGAGCTAAAAGTGGGATATTTACTATTGTTTAGTTTGTGTCTCTCAACTACTCCTAAATTAAATTATAGATTAAACGGCATCCTGAATAAACCACATTTTATCTCAGACGACTTGTGTTCGATTACAAATAGAAGCATAGTTAGAAAGCTAGCAAGAAATAAGTGAACATTATTGGTGGAGCTAAAAGTGGGATATTTACTATCGTTTGGTTTGTGTCTCTCAAATACTCCTAAAGTAAATTATAGATCAAACGGCTTCCTGATTAAACCACATTTTATCTCAGATGACTTGTGTTTGGTATAAATGGAAATTTAGATTAATTAAATCGACAGTATATATACATTTCAACTGCACCCGAATTTAAGCCCTTTTTACTTGTTTTTAATATTAACTTACATATGTATAAATAAACAAGATTATTAGCTAAATTGTTTCTTGTGGTTTTTGCA